ACGTGAATAACATAATTCTACAACGAAATTATTTTGACTACTTTACGTTTGTTCGGTGTGTTATGTTATTGTTTCATTATCTAATAAAACTTAATTTTGCATGCGTTTTGTGGGATGATACATTAGTAGGTGGGCATGAGGTCACTACTATAAAAGGTAGCGATCGTGTCATGACGCAAAACGTTGTGCTTTTCCTTATTGGGAACCTACAAATCTTGGAAATTAATTGATGCATAGAATGATTATAGAAATTGATACTATTATTATTTTGTAAGTAGCCTAATTTTTTAATTCGTAACACGCATTTCTTACACACACACACATACATATCAGGGGCGTAGCGTGCCTTGGCGAGGCCCCGTATCAAAATTTGTTTGGGCCCCCCCTCAAAAAAATTTTTTTTTTACAAAATATAAAAATACATAAAATTAGAAGAATATTTATTTATCTATCTAATTTTTTCTAATTTTCTGAATTTTTCACAAATGATTCAAGATATATATTATATTCACTTTCCTTGCCTTTTTTTGAAAAACTGAATTATTTAGTGATCTTTAAATTTTATAAAGTTTCTGGCTCTATGAACATACAGGTCTAGATGTGCGTTAGCTTAAATTTAATACCTTTCGATAACAAAAGGAAATGCAAACTACATTAAAATTATTCAATTTTTTTAAAACTTGTTGTTTTGCTTTCTGCTTGCGCTCGTTGGGGGCCCCCTCGGCTCGGGGGCCCCGTATTTTTGATACGGCTGATACGGCGGTAGTTACGCCCCTAATACATACATTATTAAAATATATTTTATTATTATTTTGTTATTGTTTTTCCTAGTATGATACTGTAAAAATTTCAAAAAAGCTGAATGATGACACACAACCATGTCGAAACGTATAAATAAATAGTTCTCTATTTATTGTTTCTTTTATTTCGACGATTGGCTGCAAATTAACACTCAAAAATATGTCTCAACGTCAAAATCTAAAATCATACATAATTATGTACATACATTAATGTATGTATGTATGTATATATAAAAATTTCTTTATCGAACATTCAATCCAAGAAAATAAAAACAAACATTAGAAAAACCATAGATAAAAGAAGAGTATAGAAAAGAGAGTATGAGAAAACTTTTTCGAACTACAGATACGTTCCAACTTCAGGTTTCCTGTCTTCATGTTTTTTTTTTGTAAAATCTTTATAAAGTTTAATAAAAATATATTTGTACAAGTTAATTTTTGAAAAATATTTGTCCTATGTACATAAATGTGGTTTCTGCCACTTGTTAATTTAGATTTTGCCATTAACTCTTTAACCTTTGCCATTTTTGACTGAAAACCTGATGGTGGAACATATCTAGTTCTGAAACGTCGAAATAAACATCTTGAAAAAAAGAGCTTCGAACAAAGAATCCAAAAAGTAATAAAAAACAAAAAAGATTTTTAAAAAACCATTTCTTTATTTATTTACTGTCGACGTTTCGGAACTAGGTACGTTCCATCTTCAGGAGATCTGTCAAAAAACATGATCTTGATAAGATTTAAGCAAACAATATGTTTAAGAAAAGCAGAAGATGATGGATTTTTTTATATAAAATGAATGATAAAAATAAGTCACTTTTTTAATGAAAAAGTGTTAGTGTATAATCAATCATACAGATAATTAATTCTGTTTTTTTAGTAACCTTTTCCTAAAACTTTCTAATTTTTTAACATTTTTAATATTTTGTTACATAATCCACTCATTTATTTTTATCATTTTTATTTTGATTATACTGTCCTATTTATGTACATTATATTTTCCACAATTTTATTCATTTTATATAAAAAAATTCCACCATCTTCTGCTTTTTACATATTGTTTGCTTAAATCTTATCAAGATCATGTTTCTTGACAGATGTCCTGAAGATGGAACTTACCTAGTTCCGAAACGTCGACAGTCAATAAATAAAGAAATGTTTTTTTAAAAAAATAATTAACATATGTTAATTTTATATAAAATTTGAGTTCGAAATATTAATTTATTTCACGGTTAGACACAAACATAACCAATAAAGATAACACCGTTACACATTAGACAATAAATTAATTAGTAACGTTCTTAACAATTACATAGTAAAATATTCAGAGATCTCACATAGTTTGATATAAATTATAATATTCATTGTAAATTATACTTTTCCATATTATCAAAATTAATTAATATTGTGCAGATGAGCTTTCACGAATGGGCGATTCTCATAGGTCGAGTTATTACAATAATTAATTTTAACTAATTTGTTGAAACCGCAAATATTTAGGAAATCAATATAATCGTTATGGATATATTAACAAAAAACTGTTATAAATAAAGTTTATACAGTTACCTGAAATCCATAACCAGCTGCGTTCTCTATGGCAATTATTATACAGCTTTCTTTTAGAACGGAAACAAACCAATGAACTATCATGGCGCCCCTGGTGATAAATCGTTTAAGTACATTTAAATAAATAAATAAAATTTAAATTAAATATTAAATAAAAATTACTTAAATAAATAAATAATTTTTATTTACAGACAAGAGAAATGTATCCCTCAATGCACCAGTTAATTTTGGGAAAATATATATCATTTGTGTGTATGTAGCAAATATTATCCACCATCGTATAAGTTTCTTGCTAACAATAGCAGTTTAACTAAAGCTCAATTTAATCTCATCTAAGCTTAGTTATACAAAGCTTAAAATCCAACTGTTACTTTGATAATAATTAAAACATTCTTTATTTCCTCTTTATGTATTCTCCCATTTTGCCCGTTCTTCTTTCTGTTTTTACATAATCTAATATATCCTGAAAAAATCTTGTCACAGGGTAAAGATTCAAATTATTAAAAACAACAGCTCGCATTATATATAGTCCAATGTGTTACTAGTTCCAAAGGTGATCCATGAGTTACTAGTTCCAAATGTGGCTCATGAGTTACTAGTTTCAATCTTGTAAAAAACACTTCTATTATGTAAATAACATATGTACTTATAAATCCGTTAGTAGCCAAAATTAATAGCAATGCAAAACAATATTATTTATAGACACTTTTAGGAAATTAAAACATTTAAACGATATATATCTGATGGTACATATGTTCTCATTTGTTTCAACATTATGGGTGAAAAGTGTAGATATCAACTAAGCACACAATGAGTCTTTTTTGACAACTGGATATGTTGACAACAGGGACTAAGTATAATAAATTAGGAAACAAATAAAAAATATTTTATGATAAATTCACAGAATATTTTGAAAATAAGATGGTCATCCTGGTTCAGTCGTGATGTTGGCTTAGGAACAAAACTGACATACCTTTGCGCTTTAGTCTCCAAGAAATTTGTTTCTCAAAATGCAACAAAACTAATAAATACACTGAAAATGTTTCTATTACATCAATATCACTTAGGTCAGAATGAATGTATAAATATACTTCCAAAAATGATTTCTAAATTCTTATGGTTGAAAATTATCATTTTATTTAAATTTGTCCATAAGAAATTACTATCACAACCTTTCAATTCATTTAATAACTTTTAACACAATAGCACACTTAAATTTTATGTAAGAAATTAAAATTGGAACTTCAAATTTTTCAATGATTGCGTTTTCTTAAATTTAATATGATTAATTGGAAAATTATCAGTAGTGACAAACAAAAACATTAAAGTGATTATTACTGTCAATAAATATGTAAACCTCAAAGTAATGTCTTAAAATATTTGATGTTTTGTAAAATTTCTTAATAATATATACATAAAATATGAATTTATTTGAATTATATATTTTTATAGATATGTTCATGATAGTTTCGAAATATTGAATACACACTTTTTTTAAATCTTTCATAATCACCATGATTTATACTTGAGTACTGAATGAACAATTATTCATCAAACATACAAGAATATAATTGTAAAAAAATATATTGGTCATGGTAAACAAACATAAATTAACATTAGAGATTTAATATTATGATTTTCTTATACAAGCGTGGTAAAATAGCTTATTATCATCATTATGCCCTTTCTTTCGAACAATATATATGAATGAAAAAGATTTCTTAACTAAGTATTTTATACATTTTCTATACACACTTTATATATATAAATTTATTCCATTAATTTCTTATTTAAGATAAGCTAGTTGCTTTTCTTTATTAACTAGATTTATTATATATTGGCATGTAAGATTTTTTAAATTTTTCTTCATCGTTCGTATTCATTTACCAATTTATATAAAAGAGAAGATTCATTATGGCACTGTCTATTTCACTGAGTTATAAAAGAGTTTCTTGTTTTACCGATTCCATGTAACCGTATTGAGAATAATAAGCATAGTGATCCCACACACTATCCTCATATTAGCAATACAGTTATGGATTCGTAAACCCTCCACATATCATATTGCACAATGCTATTCTTTTTGCATAACTCTTATTAGATATTTTAAATCATACATTGACTGAATATCTCTTTCTAGTTTTTCTCTCTTTTACAAAATATTAAATTAATTTACAGAGATCTACAAAAACGTCTATAGATCTTTTCGTAAACATTCGGGCTAATATAAAGACAAGGACCTTAAAATATTATATTATATCACATGTTTCATATTATGTCGACAACAATTATTTCATAATAAATTCATAGGAAAAATATAACAAATCTTATACATTATTACAATTTTTGCTTCAAATAATATTCAATAAACAAACTTACAAAATTTAATATAAGTAACTCCAATATACTGATTTATAATTCATATAATTTACTGCAACTATGCTTGCACGAAAATCAATAATATATTAATATTAATATTGCAATATGTCAATGGTGAAAATGATAATATACATTTATTTTGGTTGAGTGTGTTGACAAATTTTCAAAACTGGAAAAATTAAATCTTGACAACGCCACAAAATAATTCCTTAATATACTAAAATTTATATAAAATCATTTTCAACGATTGCCTATTGTTTAATATTATGTAAGAGTAATTTACAACGCTAACCTATATAAAAATCTGGCACAAGGAACATTAATAATGTACAAGCACGATTCAGTCTATTGCGTGAACTCGGTTCACCTGACTGTTTTTCTGAATAAATAATTGCTACAAATACTTAAAAAAAAAATGGAGGTGCAGCGGTCATTTGGAAAATGCATTAAAACTTTTTCACAGCATACCCTTCTTCACAGATACACTTTGAAATGCAAAATTTATTCGACAGTCTCGTTATTCAACACTTTGTCCTGAGTATTTGTTAACTAAATGTTTTTATTTGAAGTTCAATTCTGAATCATTCACTCAAATTACAATAATTTCATTTCATTAATCACACTTATGAATTGACTTTTAATAGACTTATATTTCTCTTCCGCAAATCGTCACTGTAGGCATGAGAAGTTATTAATTCGTTAAATGTACATAAATTAATAGCTAGGCCTTTTATATCACCGGATTGCTTCCTGCTACGTTACACTAATGACATTGCCAGCATTTGTTGTGCTCGTGTTTGTTGGATCTGGCAGCCCTCGTCCGTGCGAATGTGCGAGACTTCGATCAGAAGATTTTGTACATGAAGTCACATCGTGAACAGAATTCTTTGGACATTGAGATGTGAGTTGATTAACACTAAGAGGGTTATTGATGTCATGTGGATTTGTACCCACAGGATTTCGATGTGGTGCGTGCTGATGCATCAAGGGCTGGACAGGCAATTTGCATTCGAAAGCAGAACTTTCATGAGGTGTAAGTGGAGATTGTAAGCTCATACATGGGGATGCTAGACTAATAGAAGGGGACGCCAAGCTCGTGGACGGACTAGGTAAAATCATTGATGAACTAGTCATACTTGATAATACACTTAGACCACCAGGACTTGATAGCGATTGATTCAGAGATTCTTCTTCGTCATCAGGAGGTGTCTGGACATCACCCACGCTTCCGCAACTTCCGAGATTATCATCGGATTGATTGCCATCATCTCCACCATCTTCACCACCAGCTTCCATGTAGCGAATGCATTTCTTCTTGCGTCTGTAATCATTGTCATAATAATAATTACTAAAATATTATAAAAAAGTAGAAAATAAAAGCGAAAGAATATTTCATGCTACTGCAATCACACAATAAAAACAAAATTAAATAAATTCTTGACATCCAAATATAAACCAGGTTATATGCGATGGAAGTCAGTCAAGTGCTTCTAGTAAACAACAAAACAAAATATAATTAAATACTGCCAATTCGGTCATGCTAGATATCCTGAAATATAATAAATTAGTGCTGTAACATGCAAAATTAAATTAGTTGCTCTACAACATAATAACACTTAAACAAAATAAAGAGAAAAATATGATATCAATATAAATCAATCAATGGTTGAAAAAAAATTAAACGCAATCAAATAATATTTAACCACAACATTGAGCACACAATTTTTAATCTACGGCCAACTCAGTTTTGAAAACACAAATACACAGAACACGGACTTAGCAGCACTGACCCAGACCGAGGGGGCCGACTATAGGTTTACATAAGTAGGCTCCTGAGGAGAACTAGCATTGGCATTTCCTGTGCCAGCTGAAGAACTGGCGCCAACGGATGAATGAAGCAGGCCCAGGCTGGTATTGCCTCCACTGACCGCCAACCCCATCCCGCCCGTATGAGCGGACTGGAGAATACCACTGTCCGGACTGCCAGTAGCAACAAACAAACCAGGAGTTAGCATTAAAGACGCACACTGAGATACCCTTGCTTCATTGCGAATATTACACTTATGCATAGATACATCGCATTCACACCATTCTCCAAATACATTTGGAATTAAAAACATTTAGAAAATGTGTCTATATACAAATATTTCGGATCCCTCATTATTAACAAATGGTAATAAAATAAGCGGTAGCTGTGCATTATGTAACAAAGCCAATCAAATAAACTGCAATTTATTTGTTATCTCGTCACGTTCTTTTCTGTGTGGGAAGACACATTTTCTGAAAGTTCACATCACACTGGATCGCTTATTATATAACATTAGATAGAAAGCTAAATTCTACATAAATCCCAATACCATAGCTTCTTTTGATTTAAAGTCTTACCACAAAAACAAGACAATGTACAAATATTAAAATACCCATATTGTATAAATAGTACTCAAAGAAAAAGCATTTATAAATCAAATATGTAAGTGTTCCAAAAAATCATTCAATGAGTTATCCAAGGTAATATTTAAAACAAAATTAGCATAGAAAAACGTTTACTTATATTTGGCGATTACAAAATAATAATATAACTAGCCAAATTTATTTGATGCAACACTTATATATTTACTATAAATTACTGTAAATTATCCACCTTAACGATGACCAGAAGCTTCATAATAAGCATTTCATTATTATTAAATATTCGAATATTAATTAATTTTCATATAATCTAAGTATTATATTTTCTATCTGTTATATATTATATTAAAAATTTGAGAAAAATGTTCTCACCTGCAAGGCTTGCACCATTGGCTTTGTTGATCCAGACCAAATCTGGCGCGACATTTTTTCATATTATTTCCTAAACATAAAAAAAATGTTATTCAATGTATTAGAGAAATTTTTGAGGAGTATCATGCAATATTAAAGTTACTAAAAATGAACTAAACTTGAAAACAAAATATACGTGCAACCATTTTAATATGAAATATATGAAAAATTTAATTTGGCATTCGACCTGTTATGGCAGATCGTTAGAACGTACTGACGTTCTAACGATCAATCGCGTCATTATTTGAATCAGTGCGATAAATTCTTTGAATCGTTCAAATAGCAGAATAGGTCCCTGCAAAATAAAATCAAGCGGCCAGCCCAATGTGAATTTACTCGTACGCGTATAAAACTGAATCCCTCAAAAGAACAAAGAGTACCCAGCATGCACCAAATAAGAAATACATAGGAGGCTGTCCGACTGTTGAAATAAAATGACAGCTGTAGGAAAGCCTCCCACCAGATGAAAAGGCAGGGTTTTGGTATAATTGGTTGCTGTGATATGGCAAGGTTTAAGGTGTTGTACCTCCATCGTTGGTCTCTTGCTTTCGTTTCCTCTTCTTGCCGCGCGAAGAGTTAGCGCGAGACGACCAGTCGGGGTACAACTGCATGTGCAACTGCCTCTCTCGTCTAGCCAGTTCGTAATACTTGGCCTGTTCTTCGCGCCCGAGTGCGTGCCACTAAAGGAAAACGAAACCAAAATTGCATCAACTCATCGCTTCCGTAATAAAACGATCAAGATCAAATTATAACATTATAACGAGACGCTTTTCGCCGGCCTTTCGTTTATATTTAGAGAATATTGAAGCTGCAGACACTTAACTACCGATTTTTGATAAGATAGAAATAAAGCGAGGCCTACTACTTTCCGGTACGTATTATTTCGTGCTAGAAGAACAGACAGGATAGAAATTGTTTCATTTCGGGGCCACCGCAACGTTATAGTTTGTTTTCACGCGGAGGGGCTAGACCAATTATTTAATGCAATAACCCATTCTGCTAATGAAACAAATTCAACGAATTCAATGAACTCCCGAGCCTGACAACCCGCAACAAGGAGTCCGCACAATGTACTACATAATGGCACACATAACAGCGAATTGATTAACGGAGTAGATTAGTAGAACAGCTCGTGAAACGCACGTATATTACTAAGCTTTAGAATAGGGCTAAATGATTTTAGTAAGTGGCCTAGGCCACAGCAGTCCGGGTGCGCCTGCTGTTCTAGCACTACTGCACTAATGTGGTACTGGAAAGGTTCGGTACCTCCCGGATCGGCCGGCGAGCGCTCTTTCTTTCGTTTCTTCTTCTTGGAGCCGTAACCGTAATTGTCTCTGGCACTCCATCCCGGATACATCTGCATGTGTAGCTGCCGTTCCTGGCGAGCCTTCTCGTAGTATTTCGCTTGCTCTTCGCGACTCAGAGAGTGCCACTATCAAGGCAGGCAAAGAGAAGCGATCAATATTACGGCTCGTTAAACCTTATTCATATTTCAACATTGACACCACGCATAATGCATGCAAAGTATTTTGAAGCGAGGACTCGGAATAGGATTAAAATAATTAACATATAAACATAACAAACTAATTATTAAGATGACTTACCCGTCGCCCTAATATTTGGTTAATCGCTGCACTTTCTTTTAATGTACATTCTGCAACTACTTTGGCACGCATTTCTTTCATATAAAGCATGAAAGCATTTAGAGGTTTCTTGATATGTGGCTTTTTCTTATCTGCTGCAGAATTACCTGCATCAGGTCCATTTTGTTTGTCTATTTGGGCCGCTGTTGAATTTTTAGAATCCAAAGATGACCTATAACCAAACATAATATATGCGTGAACTAATATAAAATATATCAAAATTTCAATTTTTTATACGTTTATTAAATACCGTTTATGCGTCTGAACAAACGATTGTGTATATAGTTCTGAATCTGTAATTTTCGACGTACTTCTAGTTAAACCTTTTAGCTCTGTATCGGAAGAATTAGTTGACACTATAGAAGGTGGCGGTTCAAACCATGGTGACACGATTGAAGATGAAGTGCTGGTGCTGCTAGGAGGGGATGCTATTGAGCAAGGCCAGCCACTAGTCAACAAAGCGTGCTCGGCTATTTTCTTAGCGGCCTCAACGTAAGAAAATGTTTGCAAAGAAAAATGATCTGGCAAATTTAATAAAGGTTGCGGTGATGAAAATTGTTGCAACCTATTTACGTAAAGAGCGGCCAAATCTTTCTGTTTTGCTAGGGAGTTTATAACAGAATAAAGACGTCCTGATAAATCATCAGGTATCATCTGATCTTGCAAGTTTTTATTACTATCATCGTGAATTGCGTTTAATAAATCATGTTGTACAGATTTGCCAGATGTTGGCATCGAGAGATCAGCTGGTTGATAATCTGTTTCGGGGAAGTCACCGTGCACTATGGCTGATTCTGGGTGCAACTGATCTGGCGGACGAACGCGTTCGTATTTTGAAGCGAAACGATGCTTCTTCACGTAAACGCTCTTGCTTTCGACCGAAGCAACAGGCTTTTTTTCTAGGATAAGGTTTAGAGGTTCTGAACAACATCCATTCGGTTCCATTCTAAATAATTTCACATAATACGCGATACCTAAACACGATCATTATCGCGTAATATTGGCCGCGGCACTTAACCAATATCCGTCAGCATCAGCGACGGCTTCGAAAACTCGAGACTCCAATTTAGTAACATGACAAACAGCTTAACAAATTCTGTATCAAAAACGTGATACAACAAACTATTAATTCTGCATAGAGGCAGAGGTGCGCGCGACGTGCGTTGCACACAGTTCGGGTATTACAAATGCGCCGTACATTACAACCCTCATAACAGCGACGCGCACACGTCAATAAAGTACACAGTCTCTCCCGAACAAAGAACATTCAGCTACGCGTAGACCCCTAGGCTACGAGTCACAGATGCGACGGAAAAACAAATTGAATGCAAACGAACGACTAGAGAGGACTCTAGCAGTTTTAGTCCACTCAATAAAGAATTCACTAACCTTGCATATCGGTGGTTATTATTCTGGTGCGGTAATTCTTGTTTGGGCCCCGGCGTCACGATTGCGGGATGTGATGTTAGTGAATGCACGTGGTGAGGATGTGCGTGCGGACTAAGCCCGGCATGCGGATGAGATGGAATCAGTCCGGTCGGTGAAAACCTGTAGAAATCACTGCGGGATGCAAACATTTTTAAAAACATACTTCACTGGAAACATTATAGATGCTTATAATATATAATTAGATCGAATGGAATAAAACACCCACCGATATTATCAATACATTTTCTAAAGTCAAATAATTAATGTCAATAGTTTTGCATTACGACTTTTTATAAGATCCGGTGATATTAAATTAACCCTCCGTCGGTCGGCGTGGTCTGGCCAGACTTTTTTCGACTTCAATTAAAAAAAAAAATTCTTCTAGTAATTCTATAGACTTGAAAATCCTTGACTTTTCCTAAAATTTCATTAGCTGTCGATCAATGAAAAAATCAGGACGAAAAAATGTACAGAAGGATAATTATAAGGATAATAACTTTTTTATACTTCGAACGGTCGGAAAGGTCTGTCTAGACCACCCACACATTTTGTATGAAATATACGCTTTTTGATATACGTAAACCAGTATTTTGTCTTTTTTCATGGTATTTTCTATTCAAACTGCGTTGTATATATTCTTTGCTATGTGTTGTAACATGAATGTTAGTATTTTCATGACGAGAGTTCCTTGAGAACCTACCAAACTTATTGGTAATCGCAAACACTGAAAATCCGATGAGTAATGCACACATTATCAACAATCTTTTTACCCGTACTGCGTTCGAAATGTTTTTTTGTGAAACCTGTAGTGAAATTATATTTTTACTTTGAGTTTTACAGCTCATTTCAAAGGCGACGCACCTCATTTCGTTTTCATTTGAATTTCACATTCATTTCAAAGGCGCCGAAAAAGAATAAATATAGTTTTTCATTGATATAAAACAGAAAAATTAACAAAAAAAGCAACGATTTTTTATATTTCTTGATTTTTTCTATATATATAATATGTAATATTTTTATTATAAGCAAGCTCAACACATGCAAAAGACGGTAAGAAAAAGAAAAAATCAAAACTTTAAATATTTATTACTAATAATCGTTAATATATAAGACACCAAAAACTCATTTATCCCATATAAATGCATGTAAAATGAATGGTGGTCCAGCCTGACCTTTCCGACCGTTCGAAGGTGAAAAAATATCCGACCGACGGAGGGTTAAATAGTTGTTTAACATGCGTGTCTGTTAGTATTACCATAAGACATTGTATGTTGTAAATATGCAAAAGGAAATAATTTAATACAATTTTAATCATTTACCTGGGAAGAGTTGTACTAGTAATAGGTAACGATGATGGATACGGACTTCGAAATCCTGATGATCCTGAAGAAATGGGGTACATACTGGGCGTATGCCTTAAAATAGTAAATTTATATCATTATTTGAATTTATATATATGCTATGTATACAGTTTTATCATAATGAAATACTTACCATGATGCGGCGACTTGTGACATTTCTGGACTAAGCATAGGATAAGAATACTGCGCTGGTGAGTACGGAAACATCGAAGGCCTCGTCAAACCTAAAGTTAAATACTCATATTTAGCTATTTATAAAGTACTTAATTTTAAAATAACATTATATAATTAAATAGCTTCACTGAATCTAACGTTTAACTTCGTTTCATGCAGAATCACTCATATCATGGTTCTGTTTTGTTATTCTATGAGTGATAAATTTATGCAATACACAAATGATTAATTTAACTTATGATAGTGTACTCCAATGTATCAGTAGAAATTAAACATAAAGATTTACTTTGTGAGATAAACAAAGGATTTTTTAAAAATAAAAAGTACATTACGCCTTGCACCGATCAAGCATGTTGAAAACGCTTTGCAATGGGTGCATGCTATAGCACGTGCCCGGAACTCAAATATTAGCGTCGATAGATTTCCAGGTCTGATTTGATTGTATGACGAATGGTGTTAAGTACGGTGTAAAAAATTAAGTGGGTCACAATAGTGTGAACATGAATTCTTGTTTTACTACTCTCCTTCAGTAACATAAACCAGCTGATTATAAATAAATAAATAAATAATGCAACTATATGTTTGGAAGTTGTAGTCAATACTTTACACTTTGAACAGTAGATGTTTTACACTAATATAAGTATGTTTGGAAACATTAATTTCTAAAATATAAATCGATTCCAAAAATTAATATCATTGTCTGTTTTCAAAAATTATATTCGACAATTTACAAAAAAAAACGTTAAGATAGGAGCAAATTATGCCCTTTATACAATCTGTTTATGCTTCAAGTAACGACCCCAAAAACAAACGCTCTTTAAAAAGTTGGAACAGAAAACATAATACAGACAGTAATACGACATGAAACGACTGTGCCGAACACATTTAAGGTAGTATTTAAGTAAAATATACTTAAAATATTATTTTAAGTCAATTAGAATTGCTTACTATTGAAGTACGATTATTTGTATTCATTATGTTTTTTACAGTGTATACCAATTTTTAAAAATATATTGCATTTCATTTATGTAGATTGTAGACATACTGATAATCACAACAAATGAAAATTTATACATTATAAAAAAATCAACACATGTCAAGAGTTGACAAATGCTAAAATTGATTCTGATAAAATCAAATGAAAGCATACATATAAACGTACTATATATTTACAGGCAATAGATAGACATCTACATCGTGCGGAACTTATGATGTAATAGTTTAAAAATCTATCAAGTTGAAGGGGTTGATTTCAAAGGGGAAACGACCCCTTACTAATAACATGCCCCGTGAGAGGTGAACACAATAACTAAATTGAACGTTTTAAAAGCGCTTATCTGATGTTCGACCGACGTGCACCAAAAGCTTGTGTACTTGTCATATGTAATGTTTGCAAATGAGAACCTAAGGTTCTCAATTGCTAAATCCAAATCATTTATAGGAATAAAAAAATCACATCACCAAATTACACTTTAATCGTATCAGATCATCTTATGGATAATGATAAGATGATAATGATAATGAATTAAAAAAGTCATCATATGCGAAGTTTAAGTTCAAATTTGAAGGTTGATTTTATTAATATAAAGCAAAAATGTTATACCTTGGCATCTGATGTTGTTGTAGAAACAATACGACTAAATAATCAAGAATTGGTGGATTGTAATATAAATAATAAAATTCTACTGAATTATAATTTTATAACTTATATTACAATCCACTAAACTTTATTTATATTTTACTGTATTAGTTTTGTTAGTTAATCATCTAATCAAATTCGGAGCGCTTTTGTTTACATTATCATTCAATAATTTCTTTATTACTATTTTATTTGTCTATATAATAAATATCTTATTGAAATAGCTTTGATCGCAAGTTTACTCAGAAAAATGTCCTGAAGATGGAACGTGTATAGCTCCGAAACGTTGACATTAAATGAAATAAATGTTAAAAAAACTTTTTAGTTTTTAATTACAATTGCATTTCTTTATGTATCATCGTTGCACCAAGAACCAAAACCGAAATCGAATTCGAGACTAAACATAAAATAGTAAAGATAATCGTAAAAAATGATGTAAACATCTTAATGCAATGCATTTACAGTAGAATTTTAGCAAACTTCTGTTTTTTTCTTGTTTATCACATTTTTTCCATTATCGTAGCGTTCGTAATTAAGTTCGGTAATTCAATTCAATTCAACAAATACTTCAATTCAAAAAATATTTTCTTATTTATTAATTTAAATTCATTATAAATAAAGGAAAAAAGTGTGGATTAACGAGATTCCCACTGTCCCTATCTACTTTCTAGCGAAACCACTGCCAATAAAGGAAAAAAGTGTCTAGTTAAAATTTTATATAAATGCTATAAATTTCAATAAATGAGAATCTCCATTTAAGTGCCCTTAAGGACGAACATGACCTCTCCTAGCTAAAGGGTGCGTCAGTCAAAGCAACGACAAAATGTAACTGGAAGCGATTTACATTGATACCCATTACAAGTCTCAGTGACAATGCACATGCAAGCATGATAGCTCCTATGAATGTAATATCACTACAAAACCCTTTATCCATCTCCTGCTCACATTGCAATTTCGAACGTACTTTATGCAAAAGAATTTATTTATTACTTCTGAACAAAAATGCAAAAGTAAATAGCCACGTGATTTGCTACTTGCTCATATGATATCAAAAGTATTTCAATTATAGAAATTTATTAAATAAACAAACAAAATGGTAATACAGAAATTACAGCATGCAATTGTAAATAAAGCGCTCTGAGAGATTATAAACTACGCAATCTTACACAGAAAACTGGTAAGGTACTGGTTTGATAGATTTCGATAAAAATTTGATGCATTTCTCTTGCTACAATATTTACAATTACGGATTTATATTCTATGGTTCAAAAACTCTGTAAGACAGAAAGAAGACGATAAAAATATAGTTCGGTAAAATCTTTTGGCTATTATCAAAAAATGTGAAAAAATGTTGTAGCCCACATATGAAAATATTATTACAAGATAGAGAAGTGATTTTGCAGAACATTACAATTTTCCACGTGCTTTGTATAGTCTATTAAGGAATTATTATCTGTACTTCAAATGAAATGTAAGGATTTTTATTTGCTAAAAGCTCGCTCCAAGAGAAGTACTCTGTAGCAATTACTAGTTCAAGTGCTACTTACTTCGTAATTGCTTCGACACTCAAGTCATTTGCAAATAGATTGTGGTAATTGAGCAAGTTATTTAATAAATTAAAAACAAGCTGTCGTGAAACTCAACTATTTTAGTCTATTATAAATTTCATCTTAAATGTAGAAATCAAACAATGAATTAGAATGAATTGAAAGTTGCTAGATCAGATCAAATAGACAAATTTCTGTGTACTAAAAATGTCACAATTGATTCATTTAGTCACGGTTATATCCTATTAACACGTTGATTGCCAACTTCGAGATGACTCGTAGAATGCGATCTTTTCTAGGATGCCAACTACGAGATATCTCGTAGTAATATAATGTGATTAAATTAACTCTTTGGGGACGGCTGCCCACCTGATTGGACAAACATACTTTGTGAGGCACAGGCTATTTTATAAACAATGACTCAGTTTGCATCGAAAAGTTGAATAAATTACATATAGCAGTGATAAACAGTGTTGTATTTTGTAAATAATTTTAAGTTATTTTAGTAGTATTTTTAGCCTTTTTCTTTGCTATATGGTCTTTTTTTATATTTAAAACGACCGAGCGCTTTTAAATATGGCAAAACAACTGGTAAATTTGTGAATTAAGCAGTAGTGAAGATGAGTTTCAAATAGACATTCATACAGACAATTTTTACGAAATTACTATTCGCACCGAAGATAGTGATGAATGTGATGATGATATTATCCAACCAACAAAAAGAAGAAGTTCGACAAATTAAATGAAGAGCGAAAAAACATTAGCGGATGCGCCAATTCTCCTTCCAATAACCGAGTTTGACATACATCAACAAACACCCCGACTACAAATACCAAGCAATAGACATCCAATAGATTATTTTACTTAAAAAGCACTAGGGGAAGGCAACAACATTTTATTGTAAAACATGTCAAAATAAACCAGCAATGCATTATGGAAATTGTTTTGAACGTCACCATTCTTTATAAAATGATCAAAAATAAATCAATATTATAAATGTATGTCCTTCAATGACCACAAATTTTGTCAAAAAACTGCATAACATACACAATAAAATCAAGTTTACAGCCGGTTGAGTAGATTGTTTTGAAATCGGTGCCGTCCCGAAAGTGTTAAATTGTAAATTTTGGCCATATTTTTTACAACATCCGCGACAGTCAACTTGTTAATATTTATAACACAAAAATTTGTCTCGTATTACAGTTTTTAGTTTTTGATATGGTAGTTTCATAAAAAAAGAATAAAATGATGAAAGTATCCATTTACTACGTTCTATATATACATATAGGTTGTATATGTCTACACATACCACGTATATTCTATCATACTAACTGAGACATTCCTTCATTTCCAACAATGTGAGCCAATATCTACAACATGCTGCACTTACCAGTAGCAGCAAGCAGAGGTCCAAGGCGTTTCCAGTCTCCGGTGCTGAGACCGACAGCTGGTGGCGGAGGTGGCGGCGGACTCGTTCCAGGTGCTCCGTTACCGGCCGCAGGCGACGCTCGCAACCCAAGTTGCAGTCCTCGCCAGTACTCTCCCATAGCACCCATTGCTCCCATGGCTCCTGCGGCCGTTTTTGGATCGAGCTGGTAAGGCGGGATACCCATGTGAGCAGGAGGCGGTTGCGTCAGGTGTTCGCCGTTGTGACAGAAAAACGATAAACCCGTCGCACCCGGATGCGTTGTCGGCAATCCCATCTTGCTCGCCTGCAATGAGATAATAAAGTGTTATGATAATCAAACTTGTCAAGTGTGGAATTATTCTTGTTATCAGAACGTAAGTTTAGATGGTGATTAATATAATGATGTACTTTTGTTACGTAGTTATAGAATTTATTAAACTCTCCTTCGATAATTCAGGTTGTTGGCTTATAATTTAACCCTTGTAGCTGTGGACTGTATTAAACACTGATTTGTTTGTATATTATGTATTTGTTGCAGTTCTAATTACAATCACTGATTTGTTACTAAGTTATAATGAAACAAGATATATTTATTTCTATTGGTTATTTACATGTTGTTAAGCAGACTTTCCTTTTTGAACCACTAGTTCAATTAGAACACCCCGCTACCCCCTTTACCAGGGGTAGCAACCATTCCGTGTAAAGCTTATTGCCCAGAAGTTTGTCACCTTCATGGCCAATATAATAAAACGAAAAGACGTCCGAACATATGATTTAGATGCTGTTAGATTAAATCGAATTATACGCGTTAGATCTTCGGTTATATAAATATCGCAATGTGCAATAAACACAATATAATGACCGTGAATTTTTTGTGTAACGCTCCTTTTGCGAGATTGGATCAATCATTCGATTATTCCGTAGTCTGATATTAGCTGAAATACTAAGAATTGCGTGCCTTACACGAAAATATAGATTACAGAAATAGGTGAACGTAGAAACGCAGTTGTAATGTAAACATATTCATAAACGCTAGAAATTGATTATAAATACGCTGTATATGTGATTAAAAGATTATCGCACAGTTCATTTGGCAACTACTAAAATATATTTTATTTCTAAAAATTCCAATACCCGTTTACAAAAATATGAAAATATTATTAGCACACGAAATCATCTTTTAACATTAGATTTCCAGAAAAACTCTATCAAACAAGATATATCAAAAATATCCCTGACCACTAAAAATAAAAATAAATCTATAAACATACGTTACAGAAGTAAGCGTAGATGATGTTCTTCTTGTATTTTATCTTGAAAGTAAAATCAGGACGATAAATCTTTGTCTAAAATGCACACATATACTTTGTCATTTTCGAAAGTGACATCAGTTTCGGTCCATGTAAATAACTTTCAAGATGACAAATTAAGTAACTCGACACCTTCAGTGGAATTTTAATAGTGCACGAGCTTGCAATTCGCGTGATTAAAATGACTAAATGTTGACAAAATGAAGATAATGGCTGCTACAATTTATTCTAAAGATAACAATTTCAGTTTTTGAGCTTGTGTCTTCGCTACGAGTTAAAGCAAAAACAATTGTTTCAGCAACATTTCGTTTATAAATCCTTACAATAAGTCACTATCCATAATTTAATCATTAATTAATTGCTTGGCACAAACTTAAAAATATATATTATCATTGATCACCGCATGCTTAAGATTTATTCTTAAATGACTTAATAAAATTGAAATCAGCCACTGTAAAATTGAAATAAATTATTTTTCGCTGATTGGCTCAACTTTGTTTCAGTACATAAATGAACGGCGCTAATCACAAAATCAAGTATAGTTTTTACTATTTAAAAGCCGCGTTGTAATCATGTACAAGTTACACACTACAGTAATTAATTCGCGCCATTCAATAATTGCACAAGAAGTTTTGACATTGCACGTTATTCATATCACGCACAAATGCAGCAATTTAATCTCTAGTAATAATAAGTTTGTGATACGATTATTAGGACATCCGCAGAACTGAATGAATATCGGAAATGGAACGCAATTTTGAAACGCTTATTTTGAAGCTAATTGTGAACCATGTATCTAGCTAAATAAATAATGCACAAACAATCTATATTCAATCCATGTCCGTCGTCGACATTACCATCTTGAACCAGCATGAGTTACAATACATGACGTCAACATTCGTCGAGAGTAAAGGACAAGGTATTATGCTGAACCAAAAATAGCATCATTATGTATATATATTTATGTACATTATTTATGTATTGGGGGATTTTATTCACTCGAAAGATACTTGCTTTTCTTCTTTTAGATTGTCATAGATAAGTACCCTAGTATACTTTTAAATCCGATTTCGCAAATGTAGCATTATTTAACTTACATCAATAATGCGGCATCCCACGTCGCCTGGCGGCAAAGGTATAAAAGTTAAGTACAATGCCACTAAATCTAGTTGACCGTAACAGTTGTTCTGTACCTAAGTATTCGACGTGATAAATCAAAATTATTGCAAAAGCAAGTCGACACTATGTGTGTTTACAACCGTAAACGTGTCGACCTACTGTAACACCGAGAGCTATGACGTATGGTATTTTGTAACAACTAATTAAATTCTGAAGTCGCTGCAATGTTGCACTGCACAGAATTGCGCGCGGACGCTGTCTGCTTTATATATCGCCCGCAATACACGTTCCTCAAAAGCAGTAGCATATTTATATTATCAATAAATCCGGACAGACTTTGATGACGTATTATTCGAAATTTGTATTGCTAAAATATGGGACACCAGTAAGTGACGAATACATCGTAAATCTGTGACGGTATATTGTGATACAAAATAGCAACCAAGAGTACAAATATAGAGGTGCGCCATTGTCATTCAACATTAGTAGGCGCGGTATGTCTGAAGTCAATGAAAACCTATCATATTTTACATATTCTACCGACTATGCTATATATATCATTACACAATACAAATTTACATGTTAGATGTGGCTGGATATGTTTATATTTAAATTTCTAATTGCCTGTCACTAGTGTACAGTAATACTTCCGCCTCGAATAGAAGGTAATGATAAAAATTATGCTAAGACCAGAATAATGCACAAAACTATAATTTCAAATAAGTTCTGAAAGTTTCAAAACAAAATGAGCATTATTAAAATAAAACAAATAATATAAAACATGCCTTCCGAATATGACTCGCAATTTGTCGTATGCCTATTATTATATCAGGCTCTATGGGCTGCGTCTCCATCCACAACAGGGCAGTTTCTAATAGAGAAGCCGTTTGTGACGCGGTCGGTATACATGTTTCAGTTGCTTCTTGTTCACCTGGTTCATGTCCAAACTTATTTTCGATTTCGATCTTGACGAAGTCTGTTTCTTCATCAATTCGCCTATCGGACAAACCTAATATTCGCACAGCATCCGTCAGTTGGTCGGTTAAGTTTGATAAAACTGATTCGTGATTTGCGCTAATTTAACATCAGTTTCCATCCACGAACGATGAATTAGAGGAAAGGCACCTTTGAAATTAAATGGTATTTTAAAAACTTATTGAAATCGAAATTATCGTATTGCTCTTTGTATTGTGCATACATTTCTAGCAAATATAAACAGTACCGCGCATGCATCACATTTCGAATGTTTTGGAGCCGCCGTTCCTCTTTTTCTGGTAACTTTGCTTGAAATCGAAGTGTGTCTTTTCCATCATATGATAGGCAATCACCGTCGCATTGAATATCTTCAGCGCATATTAGCAAACATGGTAAAAACTCATCACTATTTGCCGGTACAAATTGAAAATTAAACCAGTCTATTAGTTGCTCACTTTCTAAACTATGTGTCGTGTATAAAACGGGTTGACTCATTGGATGAATACCAATCATACACTTAAGATCGTCCTTCTGGCCCTGACGACTAAACACGTGTTCGTCTTGAACCTGCGCGATT